TTCACATAATGCCATCCTGCTTATCTATGCAACCACCAAGTGGTGTTTTGAAACTTTGCGACCCAATTTTGCATCCATAAACTTGAAAATATTGCACAAATTTTACACAATCCCGATAATTTTAATGCGGCTTTGGACCTCCTGGCATCATTGCACCGTGTTTCAAGGAGCCGTGTACAGCACTGATACACAGAAATTAGCACGAGTGAACAGATTCTAGAATACATAAAACTCAAGAAGCATAAAATGGGGACTAGTTGGTAAGACATTTAGTAAAATTATAACTGCGCTAAAAACGAGACACGAAAACAAAGTGGAAAGGACAATTGCAGCCTGGATTGCAGCCTGAAAATGGTCAGAACTGCCATCGTCCTGTCCACTTTTTCTCGTGTCTCATTTTTAGCGCAGTTATAATTTTCCTAAATGTACACAAGACTGTATGGCACAACGGCTGACGGTTTTCCTGTGCCCCAGCTACGCAATGTTTCATGCAGTACACATAGCCAACCTAACTATTCATTTATACACCACTGTAGTTTACTGGTATTGTTATTGTTTAGTAGATACAACTGCAGCAACTTTTAGCTAGAAGATATCCATCGAGCTTTTCTTTCTGATAGTTTACTTAGGAAAAAAGTTAAAAATTCTGGCAGATCACATCCACTGTGGGTGCGGGTACGATCTGCTGGATTTTTTTTATATAGCTTCTATGCTAGCTCTCCCCCTGCCTTCTCCCATATACTGTGGGTAGGGAGTGCAGGCTAAGATTTGAAAAAACTGACATTGTGGTCGTTTACAAGACTGGAAGAAAACACCCCGACTGTCCTTCTCATGGCTCGTCAACACACAGCCGCAAAACGACACGAATGATGACTGTTTCTTGGCAACCATAAGCAGTGGCGACTTCACTGAACGTCTACGAGCTGACCCCCCCCCTGGAATTTGGGGGCCTTGTGAAACACCAAGAGGGTAGGAGTGCCATAGTCCCAAAAGTGTGCACACGACGACTGGTGTCATTTTCCTTCAAAACGACATCCTCTTAAAGAAGGACTTCTCTCCATCCCGGGCCGACTACCTCATCGATGAAACATAGGCAGTGTGACCAGAAACCCTGCAGGTCTTACACAATGACCTGACAGCTTAGCACCTCGCTTTTTAATGCACACTCGCGAGGGTTAAATAAATGTATCCTGGTCACACCTTGCTTCCGACGTCATTCATTACCTGAAGACATGTCAGGATTGTGAGCACAATAAGACACTGTCCACAAGACCAGCGAGACTTCTGCAACCCATCGAACTACCTAACTGACCGTTCCAGCAAATTGGTATGAACTTACGCTAGCCACGTTGCCGTCGTCGACTGTTGGAAGCAAGTGTATCGTAGTAGCTACCGACTACCTCAGCTGAGTAGTACTGAGTACAGGGCAAGTTGGTAAGGATTGATAACTGGCCGAGGTAAAATGAGCAAAAAACGAAGACAGAGTAAAGGAAGGACACGAGCGCTGTGTTGTGTCCTTTGATTACTCTGTCTTCGTGTCCTTCCTTCACTCTGTTTTTTTTGTGCTTTTTACGTCGACTAGCTACCTCACTCACTGTGCTGAAACAAAGGCCCTGCCCTAAGGCAGTACCTCCGAGAAAGCCAAGTTCTTCGATGAGGACATCGTCCTACATCATGACACCGCATAGGTTCTCATCACAAAAACAGGCGAGGCCATTACAACGGAGTTAGCTGGGCGATCTTGAGATATAGCCAGACAAGCCACCGCCGCACCACTTCTTCCACTCATAGACCAAGGCCTTAGTGAGCTTGTAGATATGACTATTGCCGACATGTTGACCAAGGACGTTGACGTCGAGTACAAGACCTGGGATGACATTCTTTCATACGTGACCTTCGCAAACAACATGGCTGTATGAGAAACCATGCAGATGTTGCCATATGAGGTCGTCTCCGGATAGAACCTTGCAATGACGTTCGGCGGCATGCTGCCCTACATCAACGATATAACCTCGGCGTGAATGTCTATTTTCAGTGCGCCGAAGAAGCCCAACGACTCGCCTGCCTACGCGTAAAGAATCAGCAGACAACGGACAACCGCCGCTACAATCTTCGACGAAGCTTCGTAGAATACCAGGGCGGTGACCACGTTTGGGTGTGGATGCCAATACGACGACGCAAACTCAGTGAAGGACTTCTTCCAAGATACTTCGAGCCATACATTAAGCTGCATCGCTATCTAGACGCTCTTGACTACAATGTTGTCCAAAACAGCGTTATGAACTCTTAGCGGCACCGTGCGCAACCTGAAGCTGACCATGTCATATTTGCAAGATGTTTCAGCGTGCGAACAAAGGAAAAAAGGACAGGGTAGACAGAAAGAGCGCTGCAATATGACTCTTGCGAATATGACTACACTATGACATCTTGCGAATATGACTACGCACCAACTAGCCCAAGTTTCCACTCTTGACCATGTCGTGCGGCTCAAAGCGTATTACACGCGTGAGCGAACCTGAGGACTGTACTATTTGCTTAATTATCGTACTTTCTTGCTCGTATATATTGATGATCGTACTTTCTTGCTTTATTATTGTACTTCCATCTTCTGGTAAAGCATCGCGATGATGCCTTTTTTAGAGACGAGCAATGGCACACCCACGCCTTCCTTTTATGTTATCGTGGCATTACAATATAACTGCTCTCTTGCGTAAAACCCGCCTAAAGTACTGGAAATTATCTAGACATTCGACGACATTATGTGCTCAACGAGAACATCATAGTTCTAGAACTTACAGAGCCGCCAGTAATAATGCTAGAATCTTCTATGATACATGTATTAAATATGACGCGCTGCAGCGCTTGTCAGTTTGTTGACGGCCAACGCCCTACTATCAGTGTACGTACAGCGTGCATTCCCTGCTTGCAGTTCAACTTTCTATTTCCCGGCTACAAGTTCGGCCAAATAAAGTGTCATGTATTTAAAAGTTTTGCCAGAGTATTCTACACCGTCACGACCAAGTGGCAATGTACATCAACTAAACTGGCTATACTATCGTAATTACTCGAATCTAATGCGCACCTTTTTTCCGGTTAAGCGAGTTCATAAATCGCATGCCCGTTACAATCGAGTACGAAAAAAAAAAATGAATACGGTCATTCTATTGCCATCGGCATTTCCAAAATGGCCGCCCCCATCGTGCGACGGCATGGCGCGTCGCCCATTTCTGCCTATGTGTTTCCCATGTGCGGCACTTCGTACGTGTGCTGAGGAGTTCGTCATCTTGTAGTGCATTAGTATCGACGGAATGGAAGGGCCGACTCCGAAAACTTGAGTGCACCACAATGCCGCTTTTAAAAGAAAAGTTACCGCATGTGCAGAAACGAAGAAAAATCGGGCGGCATCGCGGTCGTTCGGAGTTCCCGAAACGTGTGTGCGGGACTGGTGGAAACAAAAGCAGAAGATTATCGACAGCAGAGCTTCATGCAAAGGCTTCAGTGAACCACAGCAGGGTCGGTTTCTGCAAATTAGAGCTGCTCGGCGAGTATGTGCTTGAGCAGTGAGCGGCACAGTGGCCCGTGACGACAGAACAGCTCCAAGTGCGGGCTATGCAGTTACCCTTAGAAAAAGGTCTAATGCGGAGCCAGTTTAAAGTGAGCAGGTGCTGGCTAACTAACTTTATGAAGAGGAAAAGCTTTTCCCTCCGAAGGCAAACGGGCATATGCGAAAAGTTTCCGGAGGAGTACGATGAAAAGCTTCACAGTTTTCAGGGGGTTCCTAAACTTGCGGCACAACAACGGCTACCTGCTTGGGCAAATCGAGATTGCCGATCAGACGCCTCTTTACTTCGACATGCCTGGTACCACAACTGTCGAGAAGAAGGGGGCAAAGCAAGTTCGCGTGCTGACATCGGTCGACGGTAAAACTATAGTGACGGCAATGCTCTGTTACACGTCAGATGGGCACAAGCTTCCCCCGTACCTCATATTTAAATGGAAGACGCTCCCGAACGGAGTCGTTTTTTTGAATGGTGTAATCATGCAGGCCAATGAGAGAAATGGGTGCGCGTTTCAATCGATGTCTTACTTTTTTTTTTCGTCGTAGAAATCGGGTGCACGTTACAATCGAGGGCGCGGTAGAATCGAGTAAATACAGTAATATAGTAAAGCTTGCTGGATTTGAACTTAGTTCATTCGAACGTGTAGTTAATTTAAACTGGCACCCTGCTCTCGGCACCACCTAGTGTATTTCGGTCGGGGAAAACTCCCAGCAGTTCTAACGCATCGCTATCAACAGCGGTTAATTCAAACAAGCAGCCCCTGGCTTTCATCGCTCCTTGCACAAGTCTGCCCCCAATTATGACAATGTGTTGCAAAACCAAACTAAGCTAAACTGATCAAGAAGGCAGAACATTGACATAGCATTTCACAGCAGATGAATACTCGGACGCAGCGCTGGAACTCCAAGGCCAGATGCCAACGACGTTCATGAGATTGCGACAAAATAAATGCAAACAAATAAAACTAGCTTCTGGAAGAAGTGAGCACTTCCAGCTGACTTCCAGCGAATTGAAATTTCTGGGCCATGTGTAGCCCTAGACATTTTCGTTCGCGTGTTCTTGGGAGGCCCGAGTGTCAATGGGTAGCGTTTTTTGATCATGCCCAAAAGGTGTTGTCATTATAACACAAAATGCCTGTCGAGTGCAATCATGTTTCAAAAATAGCGTATCTATGTTTTCAAAGATTTTAAATATCTGCAAATGCTTCTCAACCGTTATGGCTAGAATCAGTTACGTAAAGTTACGAAACAATGGCGGCCTTTCATTTCGCCATTAGTAGTGCCGTTATGGTTCAAAGGCGACAAATGAGCCACTTTCATTTTGTATGCCACAAAATATTAAGTACGACCGTGCAAAGTTTCCTCCAGTGATGTTTCAACTGAAAAACAAACTAGGCGGAAACAGTCTGCATTTCAAACCTTTTGGCGCTGACAAGCGTACCGTTTCTAGGCCAAGCACGGAACCATGTAAGGGACCATAGCGGAGCAGCCGGAGGCCGCCCGCATTGGTGGCCACGTTGCCTCCGATGTGGCAAGAGCCCTTGGCGCCCAAGTCCAGAGGAACCATGAGGGAGGCCTTTTCAGCCACCTGCGTGTCCAGCGCCTCCAGCACACAGCCGGCCTCGCATGATACCGCACCTGCAGCCAATGGAGGACACAGCATGACAGCTTGCCTGCCCCACCATTTCCCCAAAGTTCACGCCGGAAAATGACCACACACAAAAAAGCTCAGCCCAGTAGCAGCCGAACATTTGTACCGGGATAGTGAAACCATGAGGCAGGCTTCGAGCACTCCTGCCATTTGCACTTCCCGCTCTTTTCTCCCTTAGGAACACTGCACAACACTGGTTGTTACTGTTCCTCCGCATGTAACAAAGACCTCAAATTATTAAGGTTGATCATGTTTAGTAGGTCAGCCAACATTCATCGTAAGCGGTGATGCGGTGAATGTGACAGCCCGCATATCATATTTCTTTGTTTATGAAAGTTAACCAGTGCTAACTTCTGCAAAAACACGGACAAGATGCACACAGGACAGTCGCAATCATACCAACTGCTTGGTTCAAACAAGCAAGTGTACATTGAAATGGAATGCACAATGGAGAGGGAATGATCAAAGCTTTTGTAGGCGCATGCACCAAGCGGTTCGACACTGCACAACACTGGTTGTTGCTGTTCCTCCGCATGTAACAGAGACCTCAAATTATTAAGGTTGATCATGTTTAGTAGGTCAGCCAACATTCATCGTAAGCGGTGATGCGGTGAATGTGACAGCCCGCATATCATATTTCTTTGTTTATAAAAGTTAACCAGTGCTAACTTGTGCAACAACACAGACAAGATGCACACAGGACAGTAGCGGTCATACCAACTGCTTGGTTCAAACAAGCAAGCGTACATTGAAATGGAATGCACAATGGAGAGGAAATGATCAAAGCTTTTGTAGGCGCATGCACAGAGCGATTCAATATTGCTTAGTTGAAGGAGATTATTAACGGATATAGCAAGAATGCTTGCCTGTCAGATTAATCGACAGCGCTGACATACTACATCCTTGCACTTCATCGAGAAATCTTTGAACACTTCACGTGCTGTCAGGTCTTTGTATGTATGCAGAACATGGGTCTCTTCAAGGCATGGTAGGCAGCCACTTTTTGCAGAGTAAAGGGGCCATACTGCTGCCACAGTTAGCCTTCACACAGTAGGCGTGGTTACGCAGACTGCGCCAATGTCAGGCTAATAGGCCGTTGCTTTAACAGCCCGCTACACGATATCTGCGTCTACTTCACAGGAAGTAGGGCGAAGCTCCTTAAGCTCCTTTTAGGGGCGAAGCTCCTTAAGGTGTAGGTTTGTCCGCTGTAGTAGTTGTCTGTCGTAGCCACCCCTAGTACGCGAAGTGATCGCTAGTGACGTTAACGATTACGACCCATCTAAGAACCATTATCCCTCCACTTCATTGATCGTAAAGCTGCGATAATAAAAGGGAAATGGAAGCCACATCTAGCTACAATTTACTAAGTAAAAACTTTTTGGTATGTAGATACACACAGTGTTTGTTCGTCACGTCTTTGATGATGTGCTGGGCGAGACTCATGGAAGATTCACGTATTTACCGATGAACCTCCGGAGCTTTGCTCACTGATTATAATTCACTCCGTGCATATGGTATGATTTTTTTAGAAAGATTGTGGGGGTGCTGACACCCCCTATAAGGTTGTTTGCGCCGCGTGGCACACATGCCTTGCCCAAAAGCCACATATCGAGTTGCAACCGCCGAGCGGTAGGTGGCGTTGTGTTCGTGAGAGTTGGTCACTACTATCGTCATCATCATCATGGTGTAGCGCCAGTGGTGACCCCTGGCTGAAGCAAGCCTTGGTGGCGGGCTAGAGTTGAGCGAGCCTCTACTGCGCGTGGTGGTTGCCGCGAACGGTTGTCTTTAGCATGGGTCCTCAACGCATGGCACCGCGGGCCTGCGCGCCGGGGGCCCTTGTGGTAAGGCAAGCGTTGGCGATGCCGCCTTGGCTGTATTATTGTGCTTGTCATGTTATTGTATGTTTGTCCTGTTATTGTGTTTCTCATGGAGTGTATGGTAATAGTGTGTAAGGATGTCTTAGTGGGTTGATAACGATTGATGTATCGATTTGGCAGATTATATCATCATCTAAATTAGTTAAATAAATGTATGTATGTTGTTTGGTTTGTACCGACCGGGTCTACTGTGTCTGTTCACTCCAAGAGCGTGGCGTGGTGCTCGCTCACCAAATCGAGACCCCACAAAGTACAGATAGCATGCTGACACACTTAGTCTTCATATGTTCTATTTGTGCCACTTTGATTATTTCTCTAGTCTTATTACCTTTGTTTCTTGCTATTACTGTTCTATCGGAAAAGATTGCCTTGCATCCACAATCCCTGCAATGGAGGCTTAAATGGCTCCTGATAGCCATATTTACATTGTGGTGGTGCTTTTTTAGTCGCTCGTCAAGGCATCTACCTGTTTGCACTATACAATTCCCTTCACAGGACAACGAGATTAAGTACATGGCACCTTCAGCATATTTCACAAAAGGACTTACATACTTTATGAGACACAACTATGGCTGTCTTCCTGTTTCATTTACTTTTGAACACATTGTGGATCTTTTTAGGCGTTGAAAATATGACTCTTACGTTCAAATATTTTCCTATCTTTTGACATGAAAGTGTTTTATGCCAGGGCCCAACAAGACTTCAATGGCATATTACCATCACAGAAGTAACTTTAAAAAAATATGCATGATCAGAAGGCAAAAAAAAAAAATCACAACATATCCACGGAGTGAACGATGATGAGTGGGGTGAAGCGTCCGTCCGTCCGTGCGACCATCCGTCCGTGCATCCGTCTGCTAGTCTGTCTGTCCATGCATCCGTCCATGCGTCTATCTAGTGAACACTCCAAGTACCGCAATCTCTCATCTCGCATCCCCTGTGGCACATACCCACTCTAAAGCGGGTATGTGCCCCTGGTGGCTACCTACTACTACTACTACTACTCCTACTACTACTACTACTACTACTACTCCTACTACTACTACTACTACTACTACTACTACTACTACTACTACTACTACTACTACTACTACTACATACATCAGAGGATGGATAGACCCACGCCTTAAGGAACTTCGCCCCTAAAGCTATAGACAATCTCCCCAAAGGAAACCCTGATGGGATGCAAAGCAGCAGCGGTGCACACAGCATTGACTCGGTTGAAAGGTGCGTCATCGTGGGTTCTGGAAGAATGCTTTAAAGCGAAACTCGGCGTAGCGGTTACTTGGGTAAAAGTTTCTTTGAAACGCAAAGACACAGGAGGTGGGACACGTTAAAGGCGCTTGCGCTCGGCTTCCTTCACCCACGTTTTCTAGGTGTTACCCACACGCCATCTGTATTCTCGAACGCGATCGGTGTTCTTCACTCGCACTTCATCGGTGTCCATGTTCTTCCATTGCCGACACTTGCGTTGGGCTTTCCTGGCTCGCGCCTCGACGGTGTTGAAGTCGCCAATCGCGAAAGCGATCAACTTCACTACAGCTCGCAACGCCGGTGACAGCCAAGAATAGTACGCCCACTCCAGCAGGAAGCATGCCCCGATGTGATGGTTAAGGAACGTTCGTCACTATGTTTGTCGATAGCGGACGAGAAAGGATTAACATGAACTTTTTATTTCATGGCATGGGTGGAACGGCTGACGGCGCACGGATACGCTACCGTGTGCAGCGCCGTTGCGTCGGACGTCGCGGCCAACCCAGCAGTCAGGGTCGCAACTCCGGAGGTCCAGGATCAGGCCACGGCTCACGAGGACCACACCCGGTAGGCCTCGTTCACGAACCTGCTCCCGGCCACTGCACCCAGGCAGGAGCCGTTCAGCAGGCCCCGTCCTTGGACCTTGAACAGACACACTGGAGCTCGACCTGGCCGACACGTACAGGTCTCACGTCCGGCTCAGGAACGCTGCCAGGAACTCGAACTCGTCCTCTCGAGCGGCGCACCGCTTCCTCTGCCTTCGTGGCCTCAACCCTCGAGCTCTCTTTTCCGCACGTTCCTTCTTGGCCAGGGCACCGCCAGGTACCCTCGGGTGCACCCTGCAGCTCATGAGCTCGTAGCCCACGTCCGAGTCTGGCGCGTCGCTCGGCACCGCTCGGCGATCCTAGATTCAGCCAGCAACTCCCCTGGCATCTGAATCCTCGGCCACCCTGAATCCTCGCCCGGCTCCATGCTCCTCTGTGCGCACTCCCGCGCCTCGCCCGGCAAAACATCTCGCTCGTCCCTTGCCGAAGTGCGACGCTCTGGTGACACCGGCGCTTGATGGCGTGGGTGCGGCCACGGAGCAGTCAACCCGCATCGGAGACGCGATGCTCCATGCGGGGCATGGCCAGCCCGTCCAGCGAAGAGCGTGCGCCGAGACGCGATGCTCGACGCAACCGTGACCATTAGCCAGGCCACGTTCATCGCTGTGTCGAACGGCTGACCGTGGAGACGCCTCGCCGAGATCCGCGATGCCCTCGGCAAGGAAGAGAACAGCAGGCCAGGCCGCGCCCCGAGATGCAGTACTCGTGCCGGCAACGCCGCCCCAGCTGGTAGATGGACGGCAGTAGCGTGGACGGCCGCGTTCCCTGGCCGGAACCTGGATCGCCTGCGTCCGACGCTTCGGCCCGCTGTCTCCCGTCTGCCGCTGCTTCGGCTCGTCCCCAGCCACAAAGCCCACTGGCACGTGATGGCCGCCCGTGGCCCAATCGTGGCACGCCACCTCTATGGGCCACCACAGGTCATCAGCTGATTCGCTGACACTCACGCGCACATTACACGCGCCTTGCCCCGCACTTCCGCCGTTGTCGTTTTCTTCACTCATCACACCCGACAACGTCCTGCCCATCGGCGCGATCGCGTGGCAATCAGCGACTCTTTCCACATTGTTGGCACCACGAGAATCTCAAGGCGCACGCAGCGCGCGCACTCGCCGGCTCGTGGCTTCTTTTCGCTGACAGACGGAGAGAGGTGGCACGAGTGAGATGATGCCCATGTAAGGAGTAGGCTCAAGCGGTGGAGAGTGTGAAGCGAGAGAGCTGACACGCTGTGAGCGTGGGGCAGGCGAGAGAGAG